AAGGGTGCCTTTGTGTGTGTGTGTGTGTGTGTGTGTGTGTGTGTTTGTAGGTTTGGGCAGTTGTAGAGATTCGCGCGGAAGAGGAGGAAAAACTTTTAAGTTCCAGCGCTAGACAACGTCCACGTTCCGAATGCCCAGAAAATTCGGTCTAGAAAGCCGGGGCAGTCGTGACGCGAGCCGTAGCTTTGGAGGGGAAAAAAGTGAAGCTCTCTCTGGGGAATGAGTTTGTCTGCGTCTTAGAGCTGGGTTATGATGCCAGCAGGAGGGGAAAAGGGGGAGCTTGGTCGGGGTGAGTGACGTGGGGGGAAAAGGGGGGGGATGTGACAAGAGCAGCCAGGATGGTGCGGTGTCAAAGCGATTGGCCGCGGATTGTGATCAATCATCCCGAGCACTGGGAAGAAAGAGGGTGTGAGGAAGGAGACCGAGCAAACCCCCAACGTGGATGCAGAGGCGCGCAGCCAGTCACCTTTTCTGGCAGATTTGGCCAGAAGACACGGGCGCAGAGGTGCGTGTGTGTGTATATAGAGGGGATAGAAACAGTGCCGGGTGGTATGTCTCGCCTTGGAGCCCTCCTGCTTGCTCCTGCCTGCCTAAACTGAAGGTGCCTCTGAGGGAAGGGGTTCCTTTGAACAGAGGGAGGGACGGGCGCTCGCTCTTTGGATTTCATTCATTCATTCATTCTTTCTCTCTCTCTCTTCGTCGCGCTTGTATGGTAGCAGTTTCAGTGAATCAACGCAGCTTTGGCTTCGCTGCCACGTGTTGGGGATATGATCTCTCCCCCCCCCCAATTAGTTTGATGCAACTTTTATGCATTCGCCCTTCCCCCAGATATCTACCTGAAGAGGGGATGGGAGGATAACTTGTGGTTAAATGAAAAATATAGGCATTCTATTGTAGGTTGGATTGGGTAAGCGGGGGAAACAGGTTCAGATCTTGTCAAGTACAGGTTGATTATGTAAAGTTATGGTAGAAGAGGCAGTAGGGAGGTCTCTGAGGCACTTCACTTTGTGGTGCTTACCAGCTTGACACTGCAATCCTGAGCAAGGAGTCTCAGGAGAAAAATCTCAGAGGCATAATCACAGGTAAATGGTGTAGGACTGTAGCCTGAACTTTGGGCTGTGCTCCTAAAACCTCTATTATAACCTGTTTTGAAAACTTCAGGCTTCCTGGCAAAGTAAATGTGGGCAAGATTTGGAAATCTCTGCATTGTTGCCTGGGAGGTAGTAGTGTTGGTATCTTGTCTCTTCTCCTCTACTGTGTCAGGAACATTTGCATTTTGTAAGATTAGTCAAGGAAAGCTAATATTTCCAAAGATAGATTTCCTCACACATCAGTATGTATTCTTACCATAGCACCTCAAATGGTATGTTTGATTTTTGTTTGCTCTGATTTGCTGTTCACATTCATGAAGATGTATTGTTACTGAAATGATAATGCCACACCACAAACAATGCATTTGTTGTTGTTGTTGTTGTTGTTGTTGTTCTGAGGCAATATATGGAAAGTATACAAGTATTCTGCTTTTGTATATTTAATTGACTTAGACTGAATCAGTAGATTAAAATTCCCTTGTGACATTTTCTGTTGCACAGAAATATCATTTGTATTATTCTAGGATTAATGTCATTTTCAGGTGATAAATCAGATTTTACATTAATGTGTGATGTAAGATGGTACTTCATTATCCCTTTTGTTATCATAATTTTATGTTAAAGTAAGTCATAAGGTACATAATATTGTGCACACCCAGCTATTTCACTGTGTGGATATATACAATTTTCTCTTCAGTAAAGAATGTTGGTGCTGAAATACAGATCCTCGTGGAAAGGCTAATATAAATGCATGAAAGTTTTTAAGTATTTAGCTTCTGTCTTTATATTTTCTTCAAAGAGTTGTTCATTAAAGCAGATGACAATCAAGCTCTTCTGATATGAGAACTGTTTCCCACTAGAAAAAGACAAATTAATGAAATGCAGCTAAATCAATCTGCTCAGATATAATAGATGACCTTTATTAAATTAAGATAGTTGATATTTGAGAAATTGAGGGTCATTTATATACACAATGTTATGTAAATTTAGAATGTTTGTGTAATCTTTTACTTTTAAAAATCAGAGGAATTGAGCTTCAAAGAATTCTCTGTCTTCTCCATAATCTTGGGCTTTTGAATTACAGTACAGTAGTTGAATTTTTTGTGTCAAGAATTTTGCTATTATGTAACAAATTTGTAGAACTGGATATAAACAGCATGTTTCCCATTGATTTTGATTATCCTCTATTGTAAGTTCTGTGAAGTATAAAATGTGAAATTTTCCATTTTGGGTTCTCATGAGTTGGTAGAAGTATACTATAGTGGCTTATCTTTTACTGAGGCCAAAAGGAAAAAAAAGAATGAGATTATGTTTCATTTATATTACATTCTACCCAATGTAATATAAATGAGGTTGCTTTGAGGAAGAAAAAAAACCCTATTAAACTCATTTCACAGCCAGGACTAAAATTTTACAATAGAAAGTGTGTCCTCCCCCCCCACACACCCTATTCCTAAGCTCTGAGGGCTAACATTCTTTTTTAATGACAGTCATTTCTATAACGGGAAGATGTTTCATTTGTATTTACTTTTCAGTGCAGTGCAATTATGCAGTTCCACACTGCACACTCCTTCATAGTTTGTATCTCAAAAGAGAATTACAGTCTTCACACCAGAACTGCAATTGGAGGCAGGTGTTGTGTTTTACTGTTATGCAAAATAACAGTAAAATATAATTGTGGGGGAAATTAAGGAAACAGCTGCAAAGATGATACAGACCCTCCATTACATTTTGTAGGCTTTTATCTTATACCACAGACTGGGCAAAGATTTGACATAATGCATCAGATTCTTAACAATTTAATTCTCTGTGACATTTGGATATATAGTTATAGATATGGATATATAGATATATTTTCCAGGTTGCTGCTAAGACCGACATCTCTGAAATATACTCGTGCAAAAGAGATTTGGGCAGAGATGAACTTGGTGGGATCTTAACTTTCTTTCATCATGCCTCCTTTTCATAATATGTGAAAGGAAGGAAAGATAGATCCTGATTTCAGGAAAGGAAGTTGTGGGATTCTTTAACTTACCTAACATATGGAAGCCTACATTGGCCTGAGGTTGTAAAATAATAAAATAAATTGCTGATGGCAGCCCATCTGCCATTTGGAAGGTCCTTTCGTAGTTTGTGGAGAACTAGATTTTAAGAGTTTGTATGCATTGTATGTATTGCACATATACACACATGCATAGCCATATTTAAAATATATAGGATGCGAAGTAGAGGTTTCCAATATTTGAATTCATATCTACCAAGTCGTTTTAAAAATTTGTATCTCGTATACAAACATTGTATGGAGAAATGTACTGTAGTGTACCATAGAGAAAATAATAGGTATGAATTTGCGTTTAAGTTGAAATATGTAGACATTATCACTTAGTAAAAATGTACACACACACACACACACACACACACACACACACACACACACACACACACACACACACACCCACACCCACACACACACACAGTATATATATTTGAATACTGTATGAATTATATTCTAAGGCCATGGGTGAACCATTGTGAAAAACTGCTATGATTCCCATCTTTAATCTTATTTATTTTTCATCTGTAAAATTCTTTTAAGCTATTTTTGGTATTAAGATGCAATTTCTTTTGACAGTGTTAGGATGAGTAGTTTCACTTTTTAATCTCTTGGTTTAGTATATGAACCTATAACAGAAGGCCTAATAATCCTGTGTATCCAGTTTCAGTATGGGGATGAGTGGGTTTGAAACATTTGTGTGAGAGGCATCGTAAGATAAATAGGAATGGCTGGAGATGTACACTGGATGCACTAAGATAACAAGTTTTGCGAAGGGCTAAGTTTCTCCACCTCTTTGGGTGAGGAGAATTATTCTTAAACATAACAATTTGGAAGAGTTTGGGCTAGAGAAAGTAGTCCGGCATAATGAAATGATTGTAAGTTTCACATAGTAATTGCATGTTAACCTGTAAAAATATATATCTATATACAGTGAAGTCAGGTTGTGAAGTGGGTGAATATGTATTTTTAGCTTAGTTAAATCATGAAGCATGTGCTAGCTCACAGGAATTAATTACACTTTTGATTTTTCTTACATAGAACTGTAAATGTTTGCTTAGGATGAAAAATTATTTAATTTTGGGGAAATGGGCCCACATATGATGGATTTTTTCCCCATGACTTTATGCGTTCTTTTTAACTATATAGTTAAAGTGAAGTGATATAGGCCTGATTTGGAATGGCTTCTTGTTGCTATGTGCTGGCAGCTTGCTTCCACCTTACAGCCTTACATGTTATGGAAGATCTTGCAAATTTAGGTCCATGATTTACATTACAATCCATCCCATATTTAGTCTTCCTCATTTGCTGCTGTCTTCAACTTCTCCCAGCATTATTTTCTTTGTCACTGTGTCTCCTCATCTTGTGATATTCCCACATACAATAACCTGCGTTTAGTGATTTAGAATTCAAGCTTGATTTAATCTAGCACCTCGCTATTTGTCTTTCTGCTGTCCATAGTATCCATAAAGCTCTTATCCACATTGTAAATGAATCAGTTGTTGTCATGTCAGCTCTCTTAACTGGCTGTTACACCCATACATAGTAATTGGAAATACCGTTGTATTGATGGTTATAGTGTTAGTCTTTAGAGTTGCATTTTAGTTCCTTCGTAGCTGCCTTTCCAAGCGTCAGTCTTTTTATGATTCCTTGGCTGCAGTTCCCCCCTTGGATCTGGAAAAACTTCAACAATTTTTATTTCTTCGTTGTTTACATTAACATGATGCAGTTCTTCTGTAAGTCATAATTTTAGTCTTCTTAATGTTCAGGTGTAAATCTGTTTTTGAGTGGGCTTTCACCTTTTTCAGTTGTTGCAACTCCATGTTGCTTTCTGCCAGCAGCATGACATCATCTTATATCTTACTTTATGATGTCTCTTTTACTAGTTTTCACTCCTTCATTTGAATTTAATACAGCTTTCTGTATGGCATAAATTGCATATAGTTTGAATTGTCAGGGAGATAAAAATCCAGCATTGTCTGATGCCTTTACTAATAGGAAATCTTTCATTTCTGCATATTCTGTCCTAACACTAGCCTCATGTCCTGAATGTAAGTTATGTTTCTTTGGAATGCTATGGATACAAAATAGTAGAAAGGAAGGAATTGCATGTAGGTCTCTTTCTTTAAAACATGGATTTCCATGATAGATGATGTTAACAAAGTCCAAATAGTCCAACATTCTCTTTTCAAGAATGGACTGCTATTTGCTTCTGGATAATCACAGGTGGTGAATATCTCATGTAGTAGTGATAGCTATCCCATTTTGTTCATCCTCAGAATCTTTTGAACATGGATATTCTATTTCATGGGCAATAGCCACTGATAGATATATTCTTGTCCAGTAATTTTAAAAAACCATGCCTATTAGAGTCATTGTCATTTAGAACGGTTAAGAATCCACAATTCTTGTCTCATTTCTATGAATTATGTTGGGTGACTTTGAATTGCCATGTTATATGAATGAAGGAAGCAAATATTTTTAACAGTTTAAAAGAATAATTTATAATGGTCTAACTAAATACCATGGAACTGTTTGTTCTCTTTTTCCCCTCTCTAAAGTAGAACTTACTATTGGTTGTTGTGGGTTTTTCGGGCTTCTTGGCCGTGTTCTGAAGGTGGTTCTTCCTAACGTTTCGCCAGTCTCTGTGGCCGGCATCTTCAGAGGACAGCAAACTGTGAGCA